ACGTTCATAGTCGAAGAACCATCTCGATTGTTCATCATCGCATATTTGTTCATTGATGAGTTGGGTTTCATTCCACATCATTACTGCCCCTGACTCTATCTTTTCCTCAGCCTCTTCGAGGTCTCTGAACATCATTTCTTCTTCAGTGATACTTCTCAGACAGTTCACAATGTTGTTGTCTAAGCAAAGGTTTTATAGGAGCTTTCCACCTACTCACATGTTTCCCTAATCATGCGACTTCAAGAAAGAATATTATATACTCAGTGTAGCTGGCAATACATTGGCACACGGCAAACCCTAGAACATGGACTTTTTCGTACGAGATTTTGTCGTGAAATATTCCCCCTGCGGTTAGAAGGTGTTCTGACGCCAGCTTACACATATCGGTTCTACTGTTCTTCCGGTCATTCAGAGCAACCATGTGAAATTTCAGATGGCGTTTTGCTCTTGCCAGTGCATTGCAAGAAAGTTTCACCGGTGTGTCGCCAAAGTCTTGTTTTTGGTCCTGTACCATTAACATTCTTCGGAACAAGAGATTTGATCGCTGGTTACCGGTTGTTTTGCCATCTTACGTCGTAGACGAAAGCACTAAGTGTTCGGGATATGAAAACTGGTTTTTAGATTGAGAAGTGTTTTCATAAAGTTCCAAGATAACCGTTCGCAGGCGCTCCTATGCTGTCACGTTGAACAGTAATTGGGTGTCAATCATAGAGGTTTGATGGATTGTTACTATTTCTTTCACTGTGTTTCTCCTGATTCACCATGTACTCTTAGCTAGGTGTTGGCAAAGAGGCGCCAAACTTCTCAGCCTAAGTGTTTTATTCCAGGGAATGATCGTTTGGTTATAGTTCAGCAAACCAACACTACCTCTCCTGAAAGTGACAATATGTCTCATAGATGGGTTCCATTTGGTAGCCCCAAGTTTATATTACTTTATTAGCATAAAATCGTCGGAAAACTACATTATGAGTTTGTTTATTCGGTTAGGTTTATTCTGTTTCCTGGTGTCTCGGTGAGCTTGGGTGAAGTGACGGGCAGGATGATGATCTGACTTGACTTGCTCTATCAATGCTTGGGCGCAGTGGTTAGCGCTGCAGTCCAGCACGAAGAAAGGTGTTGGTTCAACCCTCCTTTACCGCTGTCCCCAATCCACGTGTGAACGCCTTAGCCCGGCTATCTCCAAGATTGCAAGGAGAATCGACTCGACCAGCATTCTGCCACATTTTTAAAGATGGTTAGAGAAGATGAAATCCTCAAGCAACAACCGAAAGTATGCGAGCGGTACTGAGATCCGCGAAGATGTGATAATGGCTTACGTGTATATGTGTATGTATGTGTGAAGATTTACGTGCCTCAGGACAGCTTTTTATGGAATGATCGATTGAACTTACAGCATTATAGCGGGGACAAGACTAGCATTCTACCGATCCAAAGGTTGATAAAGGTTCCAGACTTGTCGCTGTACCGCTTTTTGCTTCCTTTCTCTTATCGCACATCATCTAACCTTCTCCAGTATTAGTAAGGCTGTTCATCTGTTCAGGTAGTCCATGGCTGAATCATCCATTATGCCGTAGGGTGCTACTTTACATATTTTGTATTCACGGAAGTCAAATCAGTCCATAGGAGCAGTTTAGAACTCCTTTACCAAGCCAAATTCTCTAATCCATCGCGATAGTCCTTGACATTAGATTCTTTCTTCATTGCGTAGGCTAAGTCTGGCAGTCTCCTCATGAAAGCAACCTGGCCTTGGCTAGTCCCAATTTTGGCTATGCTTTAACCGCTTACCATAACTGTAACACTAAGCTATGTGGTTTTCATTTTGCTAACCCCAATCCACATTTTGTCTGACTTCTTACTTATTTGCTGGTAATAACATCGTTAAGACTTAAATAACCATTTAGGCATATATAATTTGTTTTAATCCGGGCAGGATCAACGTCAGACGTTAGCTGCACAGCAAAAACTTTAGGAACAAAGCCATACGAAATTACGTGATAATGATTCTCCGAAAAAATCATGAGACAGCTCGGTTCGGGTCGTACGTGAACTTGCTGTCCTAGTAAAAGGTTCTTCAGAAGAATTTTGCCATGTGGAGAACATGTGGAGAGTGTAGCTTCTTTGAAAAATAGCTTTGTCTTCTTAAAGCAGAGTGTTACAATGAACTTTACACGCTATAGGCTTGCTAGCCTTCTATCTCATGTATTTGCTTCGTTCTTGGTTTGTGAACTGTATCGCAAGGGCACGTGTGGCGCAGTGGTTGGAGGCGCCACTACGGCACACGCGTGGAATCGATCTCCGCGACCATGGCCCACCAAGCCTTCCATCCCTCTGGGGTCGGCGAATTGGTACCAGACTTGTCTGGGAGGATAGCAGCACTGGCTCGATACGTCGGTATGCCATCGCGAGTCATTGTAAAGGCCAGATATGCATTCAATCACCTCCAACGATACTTAATGAAGTCGAATGCACTGCGCATCTCTCAGGGATTGATCAACGCCGAGAGCTTTATACCTTTACCATTTTATCGCAAGTTCCTGCTATTGTCGGCAGCCAGTATTCTTACTAAAGTGTAGATAAGTTATGGTGTTCACAGGTCCAGGGTGCATGGACACTTTTGCCTCGTTGGGATACTGATCTTTCGATCAATAACGCTATCGGGAGTGCTGACTGGAGTCGCGAGCCGCCGCGGCCTACGGCGAGCTCCTCACTCCTGTTAGTCTATCGGTACTGTTGAGTCCAGGTGAACAGTCCCTTCAGTTCGTCCGAAGTCCCTTCCAGCCTCATTGCAGATCCGAGCGAACTTTCCTACGTAGTCAGAGACTTTGTCACGCTCACGGGTCTGTTCGTGTTAGTATCGTTGATGGATCTCACTTCTCAATTCTTCAGGTCCTGCAGTGCTGCGGTTATGAATGTCAGAAGGGATTCACGTTTTCAGGTTCTTTCTCAGCATAAATTTACTTTAAAGCATCACTGTGAAAGGCTTTGCGTGTCTTTTGTTGAGTAACGAAGAGTTCAGTAGTGCGTCGAGATAGATCTCGGCTCAGATTTCTAGCTGGGGTCGGGTAAAGCTATACAATATCCTTTTAGTGTGGATTCACCCTTCTATCATAATTCGTAGTGCGGATGATCATTACAGGGTTTTCTAAGGGGCCTTGGAAAGGGTCTATTTGTATGAAATGGGAAACTTCTAACTGGTATCCTCCAATACCAGGCTCTTGGGATTGAGCCCTGGAACTAAAATCTGATCTCAAATGTGTTCTATTTGCAAGATGGAGTACCCAATGTGCCAAATATATCCTACACATGAAAATATTTTTGAAACAGAGTTAGTTCCAAAGACCTGGACTTTGTGAATTTCCAACTAGCCAGGTTTTACGTTTCCCGTACAATCCGTACCCATTTCCCTTAGGAAGGTAACACCCTTTCAGTTCTTTCTTTCATTTCAAGTACAAGAAGCGTAATTCAGAACTATTGAGCAGCAAAGTTCAAAGGAAGTTACATACCTTTGATTTTCAACATCATTTATGAAGCTTCAGGTCTTCAAAACCGAGCCTCCTGATGCCTCAGAGCCGGAGATTTCAAGGATTCAAAAAAGCGGAAGTGAACCACCACCTCGTAAAAGTTCCGTGGAACGAAAAACTAGTTCTACAGGCAGATTTTTGGTTAGTTCTCTTGATATCTGAGGTCTTGGATACATTCTGATTCTTCATTGTCAGTGTCTAGCATTTGAATGACAAGGCATCTGCTGTCATCAGTCATCTGTCGTTTGCCCTCATCTCATATTCAACTCATAGCTTATCCCCTTTCTTTCACAAGTATTCTATTCAGCTCAGTATATTACCCACTAGTGACATTTCTTCTGTTTTCATCCGTAGGAGCGCGCATAGAGCAGTGGTCGGATCCGCCCAGTAATACACATGTTATCTATCGATCCCTCGCCCGTGGCCCACTAAGCTTTCTATCCCTCCAGTGTCGGCAAATTGGTACCAGACCTGTCTGGGAGGATAGCAGCACTGGCTTGATGCATAGGTAGGCCTCCGCAAACCATTGTAAAGGCCGGATATGCATTCAATCACCTCCAACGGTGCTTAATAAAGTCGAATGCATGGAGCGTCTCCAAAGGGATTGGTCAACGTCGAGAGTTTTATCTTGTTTTTTTGATTCCTAAGTGTCACGAACATTGTCATGATCTGTGCGAAGACAAAACGACCTTCTACCTCTCTTATCCCTAGACGTTGTTGAATTTCAACCTTGCTTGTACTCGTATGAAATGCTGAGATATTTGTAAAACTCTGGACCGCAGGTGTATGCGGTGGGAAACCAACATGCGCAGTTGTCCTTACGGGGGAGCGGCGCACTTCACCACCACACCACCCGGGTCCTTCGTCTTGCCTGTCTCTCAGCTAGTTCTATCGATCTTTTTGCCATCAGCAATCACCCGTCAATATCTCAGCATTTCGTACGAGTTATATTTCGCAACACACCCTGCCATTAAGAAGAAAAAGGCAGTAAATAAAGGGCTTAAGCTTGCTTTTACTGTTTTCAGTCCTCACTTTCGTATATATTTTCTTTTCTACTTCAGGTTATGACAGATGCAGCGGGAGACAATACAGCAGGAGCCCATCGACGAGAGTCGCCAGAGAATGACGCTGATAGGGAGAATGGCATTCATTCGAACGAACCCGTTCAACGTTCCAGAGGAGTACGTGAGAGCAGTTCATTAGTTTTCTGAGGATTTTCTCCTAATAAGTGAAGTTGATCATGTTTAGATGATGAAGGGTCTTCTTTTCTCGAAACTGGGATAGATTACCACAAGGTTTCATAGAAACTAGAATTCCGGTGATGTTTTTTTGAAGCAATATGCTTGAAGTAAGGATGTGCCGCTCGTCAAAAGCTCGTCAAGAGCCTTTATGCGCCAGTGCCACCCTTCTGTCCTGACTTCAAATGGTGTAAAAATTGTTGCGGGAGTGGTAGTACTCCGTATTGTTTGCCGTATGTCGTTAGAGTCTTCCTTTACAGGTGCACTTTTCCGTTGGAGATAAGGATCTTCACGACGACAATAGAAAACGTGAGCAAACGGAGACTAACGCCACCATTAATCTGAAGAGTTGGCGGTAATCTGTGCAGTTATTTTTTTTTATTTCTGCTGAAAATTTAGATACTATCATAAGTTGCCATTTCTTGGAGAGTGCAAAATTATCTCGACTTTGAAGTGGTTCCTAAAAACGCTTCGGGCAATGAACGTTTTTTGGTGTTGCTGCACTTTTGGGTCGACATTTACTGACAATCGTTTTATTTTTGCCAATCTTTTTGTAACCACAATGGTGTTGAGATATTTGCAAAACATGGACCTCAGGCCAGATTAAAACCGGCGATTACCCTTTACGGGGCTGACTCGTTTGCCACCACACCACACGGATCGTTCGTTTCGGTTTTCTCTCAGCTAGTTTTTTTTTGTAGTTTTGGGTCATTGTGATCTTTGTGAATACTGCCACCATGTCTTCTTCTGTATATGCTGTCTTCACAAGCAATCGGTCACCTCCTCACTAAGGCTTTGTCCCACATGATGTGGTGGGGTGACTGCGTTAGCCTCCGGAAAGGGTAATAGCGCGCTCATTCCCCACCGCAGACACCTACGGTCTGGAATTTTGCAAATACCTCAGCATCATTGTGGTTACATCACAAATATTCCATATGGTTTCCAGAAATATGAAAACCATCGAACATCCGCCTATCATGGATTTCTATCGTAATTCGGTTGACATTGTGGAAGGCGGAGGTGCTGCACGCCCTTCGATGCTTCAACTAATTCATGGAGACAAATCTATACCTGAAGAGATTGAAATCGAAGGATTTAAGGCAAATTAATGGCGTTTTAATGTCGTTCAGCGGTATTTATTTTCTCTTACAGTTACATAACGATGAACTGGTACAAGGACGTGTTGAAAAGCCTTCCAAAACTCGTATGGAGAAATTTTCTCCCCCACCTACACAGGTATTTCAACACCTCATACAATTCTGTTTCCAATACTTCGTTAGCTTCTAGGCTCGAGTGAAATTCGGTTGGATTCAAGGCGTTTTTGTACGATGCCTTCTTAACATATTTGGGGTTATGTTGTATCTTCGCATCAGTTGGGTAGCTGGTCAAGCTGGAATCGGTCTGTTCTGTTCAATGTCCGTTGTTTTTCAATCTGTTTGTGATTTTCTTCTTTATGAATTCCGGAATCCCCTGGGAACTCGTATCCTGCGCAACCAATGGTTCCCATGCATTGGAGTTGAATTTCCAACATAAAATATGTCATGTAATAGTTCCTTGCTTGTATTTGAGTGTTGAAAACTTTTAGTATGAAAGCAAAAGCCACAAAGTTTTCCTTTTGGGAGAACTTTGCAAAACCTTGAACTAACGAATTTCTCTTCCTTTGTCTGGGTTTTTTGCTGTTTCGAGTGTTTCGAGGTATGGTTCTTTTGGCTTTTTCAGGTCTTGGTTCAATAATTGTTCTTCTGGCATCTCTTGTAACTACAATTACTGCAATATCTACATGTGCGATTTGTACTAACGGTGATGTTAAAGGAGGTGGAGCTTACTTTTTGGTACGTTTTATTTTCGTTTTCAACTATGGTTGCAGTCAAAATATAGTGGTCCTTTACCTGATTGCAATGTTTATAGATATCACGTTCACTTGGTCCAGAATTCGGTGGCTCTATTGGGTTGATCTTTTCGGTAGCGAATGCTGTAGGAGCAGCAATGTACATAGTTGGATTTGCTGAGACAGTCCGAGATCTACTAAGGGAATCGAGTATGCAGATTATCGATGCTGGTTTGTGGGATGTACGACTGGTTGGCTTTGGTATGTATCGTATTAAATTATGTTTTTATTGCTTTCTTCCAGGCAATTCTAAAGTTATGAGAGACTAAAATCACATTGATAACACTGATCAATCCACCAGTTGTAATGTCTAGTTGATCAGTTTAGTGACGTGTATAGTACTAATCGGCATCGTGTTCATCGGCACAGCATTTGAGTCAAGAATGCAGATGATACTCCTAGTGATTCTTCTGACGTCAATCATTGACTATGTTATTGGCTCTTTCTTCCCGCCTAGTGCTGCCACTACTCTACGAGGTGCTACAGGATATAGATGTGAGTCTCTTTCGATTCCATAATTGTTTTAGCTCCATGCGTTTTCTTCCAAATTAGAGATAAAAAAATTAGAGATATAAAAGGGAGTACTTCTGGAACATGCTGCTTCAGGGTGAAATGCCTAAACTTCGTATACCGTGCAAAATACTTTCAATTTGTGTAACTGAGTTGATTTTTTCTTGAAGTCCGCATAAACTAGGGTTTCACATGAGATAGTGCTACAGACATTCGCTTCTGTTGCTGGAACATTGGTGTTATACTTTCCTTGCATGATGTTTAAGATTATTAAAGTGTTTAATATGTTTAAAATGTTACTCTTAAGGTTGTCCTTCACTCCATTTTTAAACAATTTTGCGATTCCGTTTATGATTGCAGTTAGTACCCTTATGGAGAATCTTTTGCCTGCATTTCGTGACGGAGAGGACTTCTTCTCGGTGTTTGCTGTTTATTTTCCTGCAGCTACAGGAATCATGGCCGGCGCTAATATAAGCGGTGATCTAGCAGATCCACAGGTGCTATCAAATATATCAAATACAGTAGCGTTACTTCAATCAAGTTATTTTTTCAATAAACCTTGCCATTTAATAGAAACAGTCGTGAGAACTTCGTGTAAGTTCTATGTTTGGATAATTGTCAGTGGTCGGGACAGAAGTTGGATATTAAATGGTGTATGCAATTTCATAGGGCGCGTGTAGCGCAGTGGTCGGCGAAGCCCTGCAATACACATGGGATGGATCACTGCTCCTTAGGCTCCATAAGTCCTCCATCCCTCCGGGGTCGGTCAGTTGGTATCAGACTTGTCAGGGAGGATACCAGCACTGGCTCGATACGTCGGTTGGCAACTGAGAGTCATTGTACAGGTCAGATATGCGTTCATTCACCTTCAACGATGCTTGGTGAAGTCAAATGCATGTCGCATCCCTCAGGGATTGATCAACGCCGAGAGCTTTGTCCTTTATCCTTTATGAAATTTCATTCACTTGTTATCGGAACAATTATACCTTTTTGTCATTGTAAACTGAGTTTCACATAACCTCAATATAAATAATCAATGTACCTTGTTTCATTGATAAGCTAACACGAAATTGTTACCAATATTTATTCGGCTAACGTTTCGACATCTTCGTCTTTCTCAGAGCCGATGATCCCAGTCGATGTCCGCATTCATTAACTTATCAACGAAACAAGGTGTACATTTTTCCATTATAAATCATTATTTGTTTGTCATTTGAAATAATCTCAGAAGTTTTCCAAAAAGGCTTTTAATTTTAATCAAAGTGTTACAGCTTGCTATACCGATCGGGACACTTTTGGCTATTGCAGTGACAACTACAGTTTATTTAGCCACCGTTTGGATGACAGGATCAACCTGTGTTAGATGAGTTCATATCGCACTTTTTCTTTAGCGGTGATATACGTTGATCTTCACGATTATATAGTCACAAATAATTTAGCGTTTTATTTTTTACCAAACATATCTCAGCTCATAGTTATCCTTACTGATCGAGATAGAGCCACTGGAATGTTCTATAACATACAAGTTTATTTATTACAATTCTAGTTTTCTAAGGCTTGGAAGTCCACTTTTTTTGCTGCTCGTGAAGATTTACCTCAAACGGTGAAGCGCTTGAAGAAGCTAGATATCCTCCAACAGGGTGCATTCGAATTCATTATTGAGGCCACAAGATGGCACACTTGTTTTAAAGTTTTAATTTAGATATATACAAATGTGTACATGCGTGTACGTAAACAGATATATATATATATATATATATATAAATGCATATACGTAGGTATACACATGAATGTACATATACGTATATATACATATGTATATACGTATTTATGTATACACATATATTTGGATACTTGTATGGACCTTATTCACTGATTGTGGAAGCCTTGGTATTAGTTCCATTGTTTCGGAGTTTTGCTGGTTTAGCCATTGTGGTTCTCTAGAGTCCCGAGGTCAACTAGGCCAAAGATCTGCCCCGGCTCGTCATCTCCACGGGTAGTCGCCGTCCTTGTTGATCAGAGGGAGATTTGCCAGCATGAGACTGACCGCAAGTTTTGCTGTGATTATCAAATCCTCATGTTTTTAAGTGCTCCAGTTGTTGAAGGATAGGCAGTTGTCGAGTCGTTCCACATGTGTTAAACATATTTTGGTCAGCTTATTGAACATCTTCACGTTTTATGATTAGTGCTGGCAAAATATAAGCAATATAATAAATATAAAATATAAGCTAACTTTTTTCTTACTGCTTGGGACTTTTGATTTCCTTATTTTGCTGCTTTTTCTGTTTTTACACTTTATATTTGGATGAACTGTTTTTCCGTGCTTAGTGTATTTTGCTTTCCGTGCGCATTTGGAAGATTAGGTTACTATCGCTTAGTAGTCCGTTAGTTTTCTCGCGTAGAGACAAGACATTGTGTGTACAAATAACCACCAAGTATTGGTGCTTTTACCGATGTGAAAACTAATGCCCTGTTGGTTAACTGGTTATTAAGAGGTTGCCTAGTACGGTTTTGATTTTTACAGATGCAGATGGAATCTTCCCTCCACTTTGGAACGGAACAGTTTTTATACCTCCAGATTGCACACTGAATAGTACTTGTCCTTATGGTCTCATGAACTATTTCCAGGTTTGTAAAATTTCTTTTAACAGTGAAGTGTTTTTTGGAGGCTCTACACATCAGGAGACGGGTTTGAGCCGATCATATAGTAATCATTGTTGTGAAGACATGCTGTTAAAATGGACTGTCTGACATTATATCTCTCATACTTGTATGCTTGGATGGCTCTTGTTCAGCGCACTGGTTGTAAGGTCTCCAGCATAGTTTCTACTTTTTCGGAGTTTTGCTAGTTTGGCCACTGTGGTTCCCTGGAATCCCAAGGTTAGTCTAACCAATGTCTGGCCCAGGTCGTCGCCGCCACAGGTAGCGGCCCTTGTGGATCAGAGAGAGATTTGCTACCATGAGACTAGTTTGACACCAGGACGGTTTTGACACCAGGGTGGTGATGGATCCTAGTATCCACTCATATGTGCAAAAAATGCTTGCGGGTGTCGATTTTAAACAAACATCTCAGCTCATACCGGCGGCCGTCATTAATTCATGTAAAAACTTTTGTAATCTAAAGATTCTTTCCTGTAAAAACCGCTTCGTACTGTTTTAGCAAAACGGAATTTTGATTTTGGGATCACATAGTGTGTGTTTTCACTTTTTTTTTGGTCAAATGTCGTATTTTGAGTATGAAAACAATTAAACAAGAAAGATCTTCCGCAGCACGATATGTTGATGTTCCCCAGTGTATCGGCTACCTGAGCGGTTGCCAGGCTCTAGAGAATTCTGTATCCCAAGTGTTTTCATTTTTTTTAGGAAATTTTAATTTTAAGCAACTTTGGAAATGAAGTATTTTTAAAGCTCCTTCCTAGCATTAGAGTGCCAGGAGGATTCCTACATCCCTGGTTAGTTTCCAACTCAAATAGTCGTTGAAATTCTCTTAGTTGTTGTCGAGAACCCAGTTCCGGTTTCTAAGTCCTACAAATTTTTAGATTATGGAGATGGAGTCTCTATGGGGACCACTTATCACTGCAGGGATCTTTGCTGCTACACTCAGTTCTGCGCTTGCTAGTTTAGTAAGCGCTCCCAAGGTTTTTCAGGTTTGTCTATTCAGTTTGCCTCATCAGTCTTTTTAGTTTAAAGTTGCTTTTTTTCCTCATGTAGAAGCAGTTCTTAGTTAGAGTGTTTAGCCGTATTTTCTAGAAAAAGTTTATTTTCCGTTTCAGAACGAATGAATGATCTTTGATAATCTCAGGGGCATTTTATTATCGTTTAACGCATTTACGGGTGCATTTCTACTGCCAATTTAGGCTGTCTGTAAAGATCGTCTGTTCCCGAAGATTGGTTACTTTGCCAAAGGGTACGGTAAGAACGAGGAACCGAGGCGAGCATATTTTCTGACATTTGTCATAGCTATGGCCATGGTAGGAATAGGTGAGGCTTTTGTAATTCATTGATTATTTTGTCAAATGTATTATGAGAATGAAGAAGTAAAGAAGAACATCTATCGTTTATCACATTGTTGGGATGATGGGAAAATTCGTCAAGGAAGCTGTCTAGAAAATTCTTGCTTTGAACGGCTTCTAAAAAAGAAGTGAAATTGCGGCTATTTCCATCCGAATTTCACTCATGGCTAGCTATTTTCCCTGTTACTTAGTGCTTTCGTTGAACGATGAATAAGTATCTCTTGTTAACGATGCTGAGACATTTGAAAAACTCCGGACCACGGGTGTCTGCGGTGAGAAGCGAATGCGCTATTAGTCTTTCCGGGGACTGACGCATTCACCACCACACCATGCACGTTCTTCGTTTTGCTTACCTCTCAGATAGTTCTATCGATCGGTGCCATCGCCAATCACCCTTCAACGGGATCTGGGTTCCCGAAATCGGCATTGAACTCAGTTAATCTAGGGCTACAGTTGAAATCACAATGTTGAATTTATACTATTATATTATATTATTAACGTTATTATACAATACTCTGCAGGGAAAAATTGTAGTAGTGAGCAAATAAAAAATATCTCTTCTGATTGGAGTGTATTATTTATCAAAAGTATTGGGGAACTTTGATAAAAAGTAAATATTTATTCTCACTCACCAGGATCTGTTCCTACCTATTCATCTAAGAATATTAAGCTTAGCAGCTGTATGCAGCAATGGTTTACGGCCATCTGCAGCAGATCTCCTAATCAAACAGAAATGGTGTCGGTGTCAGTAACACACTTACAAAGTGGCAATAAAATAAAAGCTCTCGGTGTTGTTCTATCCCTTAAGGATGCGCCATGCATTCGACTTCTTAAAGCATCGTTGGAGCTGATTGAATGCATAACTGACTTTTACAACGACTTGCAGTGGTCTACCGGTGTATCGAGCCAGTGTTGCTATCCTCGAACATAAGTGTGGCACCAATTTGCCAACGCCAAAGGGATAGAAGGGTTAATAGGCCATGGGTTCGGGGATCGATCCCTTCTGTCCTGCCGGGCGTCTCAGGCCACTGCGCCACTCACGCGCTTACAAAGTGATAGTATTATAAATTCTTCATGACATGTTTCATGACAGTTTCGTAATATTGAGGAATAAAAGGAATGAAAAGAACAACTAAATGGCAAACGAAAAATAAGGCAATGTACCCCACTAAGCACGCATAGGGTACAAAAACATAACGGAGAAGATTTTGATGTAAAAGTCGCTATCTTCGCACAGGAGACTAAAACACCAACACGCAGATTTTCTTGGATAAATGATAAAATTCCGAGAATGAATAGAAGGAAAGAATACCGTGTGATAGCACGTGATCTAGCCCCGTATCTCAGAATTGATTTTTGATGTGGGTTAGTGTAGTCGTCAACCATATGAGTAGCTGTTCTTCCTCAGTGGAGGGCAGGTGAAAAACTGTGGGTTTCTCGAGAAGTCGGTGATCATGTAACTATTTTTAAGATTTTTATCTTTCTGTTTGTGCTATGGAAGCATTTGACCTAGTAAATTACATACTAGTGTACCCTTTCAGTCCAGACTCTGAAGGAGGCCATACTGCCGAAACATCAGCTACCGTTGTGTTGTATGTGTTATATGTGTAAGGAAGTAAACGTGTGCTGAATAACAACTTCGCGATTGCTATAAAAAGAGAAAACAAGAGATAATCCAATGCCGAGGTCAATAGAAAGTCGATCTTGGGAACAATAATGAGGAATGTTGAAGTGTATGGTAAAACCAATAGAAAAAGCTGTTACAATTGTGAAGGCATACCCACCCATGTTGGCAACTCCCATTATCGTTATAACGCCAAGGGGCACCATCTCATAGCGAATGCTTACGGTGGTAATAAGAGGGAAACTTCAAAATGTTTTTCCAACAGTTTGTCTTTCGCCAATTGCTGCAACGCCAAATTTCATATACATCTCTAACAAATTGAAATGGTCAATTTCAATTCTTTTATAAACTTCGCTTTAATTTTGCAGTGGTTCCGTGCTTAGTTAGTTAAGGTGCTTGTATAGCCTATTGTTCGGACGCGCCATGCAATACACATAGAATCGATGTAAGCGCCCCGAGTTGACCAAGCCCTCCATCCTTCTGGGGTCGGCCAGTTGGTATTAGACTTGTCTGGGAGGACAACAGTACTGATTAGATATATCGGAAGGCCACCACGAGTTATTGTAAAGGGCAGATATGGATTCAATCGCCTCCATCGATGCTTCATGAAGTTGAATGCACGCCGTTTCCCTCAGGAATTGATGAGCACCGAGTGCTCTTTTCATCGTGCTACGTTACTCAGTTATTGGTATATAAATCATAAAATGGTGTTTAATCCTATTTTTTTCTCATATTTCAGGAGACCTAAATGCCATAGCTCCAATCATATCAAATTTCTTTCTGGCATCATATGCGCTCATAAATTACGCATGTTTCGATGCTTCATTCGCCGATTCTCCTGGTTGGGTTACGCTTATTTCAGCTTATTTACTATTTTTTATTCCTTTAAAACTTTAAAGTGCATACTTCCTGCCGAGGTCTTTCTCAGATTTCTACGTCATTATTTTAGGATTTCGGCCAGGTTTTAAGTACTATAATATGTGGGTATCCCTTGGAGGAGCCCTACTGTGCATCGTAGTTATGTTCATCATCAGCTGGGCGACGGCGCTGATAACGTTCTTCTGTTTCGCTGCCTTGTTTTTGTATATTTTACATAGAAAGCCTGGTAAGAGATTCATCGTCGTTTAGCACATCAGTAGGAGCTAGTAAGGTACCAAATATAACTGGTCCTATTCCAACTGCTTGCTTAGATGTGAACTGGGGCTCGTCTACTCAGGCGCATAGCTACAAGAATGCTTTGTCAGGAATGATAAAATTGTCTAATACTGAAGAGCATGTGAAGAATTACCGGTCCGTTCATGTCGGTCGTTTTTATTGTGACCAGAAGCAATAAGTTCGCAATAGTATACTAATATTTTTTTTAATTTAGGCCTCAATTACTTGTGCTATGTGGGAACGCGGCTTCACGTCCTTCCTTAGTTGATTTCGCCAACAGCATCACTAAAGGGACGTCGTTAATGATTTGTGGTTATGTGGTCCCCGTATGTTTGTAACATGAATCACTTTTTTTAATACTTTACCAAGGGTTACAGTCATAGTAGAGGAGTTTATTTCAAGATGCTTAGGGCTTTCTTTCTCGTTCAACCACAAAACTTGGGTCATAGGTGCCTTAATTTTCTATTTTTCAATCTTTAAAGTCTGTTTTCTTGTTATGCGCAAAAGCATGTGTTTTTTCTTTTTAATAAAAAGATTCGGCACTTTACAGTATAATCCTTCTGATCGGGTTTATTCTGTAATGCGTAAACTGGAACGTCAACTCAGTGAATGGCTACGAAAAAGACGTGTGAAGTCCTTTTACGCTTCTGTAGCGAATTCTAGTCTTCGAGCAGGTGCTCAGTCTTTACTACAGGTGAATGTGTTACTATTGTTCACCATCCTTTTTCTGACCACTTGTGACCTAAAGTTTTTTAAGGTGTGCGGTCTTGGAAAGCTCCGTCCAAATATAGTTCTTATCGGTTTCAAGACAAACTGGTATCATGGAGGTCCCACTCTTCAAACACTGGATGAACTTAATGAGTACTTTGGAACAATTCAGTTAGTTTTCTTGTGAAGAAGATTAGGTTTCACCTGCTGAACTTTCTAACGAAACAGATCTTTGCATTACAGAGATGCGTTCGACAGTAACATGGCAGTGTGTGTGTTGCGTAACGGAGACATGGGCCTTGATTTCAGTGAGGCCATGAAGCTTCTGAATGTTGGCGAGTCAAAACGGCTCGACATTAACTTAGATGTAAATGTGGTAGATAAGGATGGGTCAGTTCTACTTGTAAAACAGTGTTCGAGTAGTCTCACTCCTTAAAAATTGGACACAAGAAATTGTGCTACAATGGAGACGATATCGAAACGTTCATCTTTGAGGGCTAACAAAACTACAAAGAACCTTCTATCAGCTTACCAAGGAGAGTTTGTAGGAAAACAATTTGTTGATTAATGCCAGATGTAATTGAAAATCGGTCTTTGAAATTTTTGCAAATGTGCGAACTAGATATCTCTAACTTATAAATAGCTTCATAAAATCATTGTTGCTTTTTGAAACATCTTATAGTAGAAGTCTCCTTTAATGACTCTTCGATGTTTAGATTAGAGTCACCCTCAAATCCATCTGGAGGCAGGTCTGGGTCAGATGTTTTGAAAACGGTTCCGAAAAGTGGAAATGACGATGAGAAAGCCGAAACAGAATGTAAGGTTTATTTTTAAGGACATAGCTATTTATTGAAAGCATAGCAAGCTTGGTTTTTTCCTGCTACTGTATTGCTTACCATAGGAGACACTAAAATTTCTTCAGCTCTCCGATACAGGGACAGTGTTCGTAGTATGGAACGCTTTGCAAAACTTAGCCATCATTACATCACTGGTGATTTGTGGTGTTGTAAAGCCATTGTGGTGTCATACAAAAACGGGACATATCAATAATTTCATTCTCACGTTTTTCAGCATCGAACACTTTGACGGAAAATTTTGGGTTCGAGGATGTTGAGGTGATTTTACAGGGTAATATGAATCATAATGCCTTCAGAGTTTTTATTTTACTGAAGGACGAAGCTGCGTATGGAGGAGAGGAGAACCAAGCTAGCGAGAAGCATTTGGGGAAGGATGTCGAGGATGACATAGAAGTAGGCGAAACTCAACTGCGCATCGAAGATGATCATGTGCGAAACTCTCACAGTCATACATTTTCACTGCGAAGGCGAAGGTGAATATAACGTTTCGAAGTTACAGCATAAAACAATTTCTCTCAGAAAACTAAATTTGCTTAGTTCGCCCTTATATTGCATCCTTTTAGCGAAAGTATTGTGTAAAATAGGTGAGAACTGTTCCTTTCTCGAAGGTTTCTGAACAAGGTGAAGAAAATCTCGGAGTCCTCTGCTGCGTATGTTTTTAGTGGTAATAGACATGCATGAGTATCGTGACCGTTTTTGTGTGGCATGTTTGCTTCTGACGTTTCGTCTACTTTTATGGTGTTAGGTGCAGCACTGTATTGAGTCGATGCAAAAGTTCATCTAGTTGGAACAAATCTTATTCTTTCCAGAAAACAGTAATTTATGCGCCTTTTATTCATTGACGTTCTGCCAACTTTCCAATAATTTCCTCACTTGTGGAACTACTGGGATATTTCGACAAAAACTTATTCGAGTAGTTTATTCAGTTTTTCAAAAAGATTGGGTTGAAACCACTTAGACTGTGCAGATATCTGGTATAATAAGAAGAAAGCTCAGGGAATTCTAAATAGGTGCAGAGGTCGATCCCATGTGTATTTTGCAGGGCGCCTTCGACCACTGTGCTAGACGCGTATGGTTACTACTAATTTAACTCGGTACACTTGAATCATGGCAGCTTAAGGGGAATTCGACTTTATCAACGATACCCTTCTTCATCCAGAGTTAACAAGAAACTGAAGATGTCGAGGAGAATAAAGAAGCTTTTGGTCCGTTTGTAAAGAAAATACGAATTTAAATATGAAAGTAAACCAAAGTCCTCTTACTACTCTCTTAGCCAGCAACAGTCTCAGAGATCAATAAACTCTTCTTAGAAAGGTCCTTTTGTAAATTATTAGGTGTGGATAATTTTTTCTATTCTTTTATCTTTTTCTCCAACCCGTCTTCGCGTCTACTGGGAGGGTCCCTACACTTCTCACATTCGATTTGTTTCCTCGCATCCATAGTTAGTCCTTTAAGATCTTCCAATTTCTATGTGTAGCCCCGGCTGCTGCTTAAAGGTTTTCATTTCATCTTTAATGTTTTAGAATAATAGTCGAGTCGATTCTCCCTGGAGTCCTAAGATAGCCTGGCGGTAGTGTTTCCACTTGGATTGCAGAGAGCGGTGGTATCAATTCTCTGAAACCGGAGGGACAAGGGTCTTGTTGAACCGGGAGTGGAATCGAACTAGCACCGTGCTCATGATGCTTGAGATCACTCTCGCTGTGCTATTCGCTTCTTGATGTGAAGAATAGCGTACCTCAAATGATATTTCCCATAAGTGTAAGAAGGTATCGATTAAATATACGACTCGTGTCATCCAGTCTTACCTTAAGAATGCGAATTATATATCGTTCGAATCCTCGATAATGCGTCAAACGCTTTCTCTAGAAGTGGTGGTGAAGATTAAATCGTATGTGGAATTCATACCAACAGCACGTGGTATTAACAAGAAGATTTCGTCACACAAAGAATGAAAGTGAATATTATGGGACTGCATAACTCATACGGATACACATAGAACATCACTGTCTGTGAAGTCGTGAATTGTTTACAGTAGTTTCGCTTCTTAGTGACCATCTGTCATTCGAGGAGAACGGTTTGATTCGAAATCACTTTGCTCATTTTTTGCTGACGCAGTTTCCTCCCGCGTCATGTTTCCTGCTGTGCAGCATGTTCATGGTGACATGCACTGATTTCACCGTTTATAATGAGGGGCAGAATGAGCGTCATCCATTGATCTCTAGATGTTTGGTTTTCACTAGTTTTTCTAACCGCAAAGGCATTTTTTTTTGCTATGAGTTCTATGTGCTGTAGATAGCTTATCTAACTCAAATGTTGTGTTACATTTGGTCGGTATGCGAGAAAAGGCTGCATCCTACACTTGATTTGCAAGGAAGTGTTTTAAGGACGAGTTTATGTCGTGGGCGACAGAACTCTTTTGATGAAGGGAGTACCTACCATAAAGACTGTTAGTTTTGCGAGAGGGCGCGTGTGGCGCAGTGGTCGGAGGCGCCCTGAGATCTTGAGATCGATCACAAATAGAATAGATCCCGCGTCTTACGCTCACCAAGCCTCCCATTTCTCTGCGGTCGGCAAATAGGTACTAGAATTATCTGGAAGGAAAGCAGCACTGGGTCGATATGCATTTAATCACCTCCAAACGATGCTTAATGAAGTCAAATGCATGGCATATCCCTCAGGGGTTGATCAACGCTGAAAGCTTTGTCTTTTACACCGACGCGATTGCCGAGGTGTCACTAATTTACGTGGAATTTAGAAAAGATGAAAAGCTTAAAGATAGTTGTTTTGCTGTAATTGTGGTATAGCTTTATACATGACGTCGGACAACAATATCTCTAAAAAAACGGCGTTCATCAAAGTGTTTCCGCATAGTGTGCGTCTTTTCTCCGACTGACGTTTTTATTACATCCTATTCTATCTCATAACATCTATTGACGTCGTGCTAAAATCGACTTGTCTTCCACGATTCTTGCAATTTACCCGCTTAATATATGCCTTTTTTGTAGCCTATAGTCACTACAATCTATGCCTTTTACCTACTGTTTAAATAATTGTAATCGGTGTGGAATCCTTGAGATTCTGACCTGTGAGAACCATTGAAACAATTTAAACAGAAATATTTGTTGTAGTTGCTGAATCTAGGGTTGGTCCGCTTGTATACCAGTTGATTTAGAGTTCTGAATTTTTGCTGTCAACTAGACTTGGTAATTTTTGTTTTCTGTGTATTCTTTATGACTTCCGATGACGAAATACAACTAGTCAACCATCCAAGATTATTCGAGACATCAAAAATTCAATTTTAGTCAGGAATGTTCACCGGGGATAATAGCAACTTAGTTGCAGCCTAAAGAGTAGCAAATATTACTAGGGAAATATAGTACAACATTAAACACATAGAGATAGATGGTTTAGGCTGAACGAAAGAAACAAACAGAGGCGGCAGAGAAACGGAAAAGAGCTATAGAAAAGTGGTAAAGAGTAATCACCAAGTAGTACAGGAAGAATTTATTTCTTTATATGCTGTTTATAAAGGGATCGAAGATTTTCCAAAGAAAAAAGCGAACATTCTTTATATCCCGAGATTTTTCCCAATTTCCTGTTGTCAGGTTTCCGTGATATGTGCGATGTGTGTAGTTTATTGTCGGTTTGTTAAACATAGCACCTATTCTATAACTAATTTTTATAGATTCCTGTTCACTATTTCTTACAGTTTCTTCAGATCTGCTCCATATTTTTGCTGTTCTGTTGATTGCTGTTGGCATTGACATAAGGTTTTCTTCCAGTTTCAGTAGATGCATAATCTTATTCCTGGCTTTTATGACGGTTAAGGGCGCTTTATCGTACTTTGATTGCTATTTCATCTTTCTAAGGTTTTTCAATACGACTCATTTCTTATTATACCCACACGTCTTCAAATACTAGTTCACCTTGTCATACCGGAGAAGGGAACTGGGTGCAGAAACTCGGTTTATGAAATTCTTTTTGGCCCACGTAATGCAACACGTTTACATCGAATTCGCCGTTTCGATGTCGTAAAGTACTACCACACATTTGTGCAAAACGCTGTATTTCGAAAATGTGTGTTATCTTAGAAATTTTGTGCGGTACAGAGAATGCTATGAGCCACGCCGTTGACCTTTGCTATTTCTTTTTCCTATAGTGTTTGAAATAGCACCAATCAAACGTCACATAGATATTATACGCTTGAAGTCGATAACAAACTGAAGTTGGTACATAGTACTGTCATACCTCAAGAACTAGTGGAACTTTTGCACCAATACTGTATATATATATGTATATATATATATATATATATATATATATATATGACATATATACGTATGTATATGTGCATATGTATATATGTATGTATATATATATACATGTTCATTAAAACTTAATTAATCACTTCGGCTGTATTGTTTTAGCACTCGTAGACCGACCACGGAGCAAAAGGCCTTGATTGCATCAATTTCTCGTTTTCAGCGGAAGATAAAGAAGGTATTACTTCTGCATTTATCTTAACTTTAATACTTCTTTTGAAACCAACACTACGTTTTTAGGGTGTAATTGACGTCTGGTGGCTCTATGATGACGGCGGACTCACCCTTTTAATTCCTCATCTGCTTACGATACCAAAAAGCTATTTAGAGGTTGTTTTTATTCACAGGAGTTTTTGCTGAACTTTATTTTTCTACAGTTTAGGGGGCAAAGCTGCGAGTGTTCACAATCTCAACAAGTACTCGTACAATGGAACAAGAGCAACGAAGCATGGCTGCTCTTCTTTCAAAGTTCAGGATAAATTTTAGCGATGTATCTGTCATATCCGACATTGGACGAATCCCTCGTCCTGACACGTTAGTTTTTTTTCAGCTACTTTCCTAGCAACTACCTCATTGAGTATGAACACCTCAGCATAGTTATTTTTATTGTTTTTACTTTACAGTTATATTATCGTTGTATCTAAAAGAGTTATAATAGATGCGCTTTTTCTTTTCGAATTTTTCTTGACCTTGATTTCTTTTTTTATGGTTTAGAGCCCTAGTATTTTGTTACTGTTATCTGTGCATACATTTTTTTTCTCGAAAATTACTTGGAACCCCCTCTTATGTCCATTGATTTTCTTAGTGGTTTTAGGTAAACAGGTTATGTGCAAGAAGGGCAACACTGTTAGGTCCCATCATTTTTGTACAACAACAGACATTTTTGTTTGTAATGTCTGTCACTGTTTTAGTCTAATGAGATGGGAAAAACTTATTGCTCCGTTCGTTAGTCCGGACGATTGTGAAGTTGTGCCTGGTACAACATCGAGGAGCGAGTTGGACTCTCAGAGGCAAAAGACGTATCGACAGTTGCGAGCTTCTGAGCTACTTCGTGAGCATTCCGCGGAATCAGATCTCGTAGTCATGTGAGTGCTGACGTCCCATAATTTTTCATTTATTTTTCTATACATAGTATGCAAAAAGATTTGACCTGAACACCTTTCTTAACAGATTGGAAAAACCACCTATATTTTCGCCTTTCTAATCAATTGAAAATCAACGTTCTCGAAGATTTCCACGCGATGAACTCTCTTGACGGAGAATCTGTTTGAATAGGAATATTTCGAAGAGCAAACTATGCGGTTTCTCAATTATCGCAAAAGAAGTATTTTGCTTGTGTAAAGTATAAAATGCAATGATACACGACCGTCGTGGTAACAAACTAGGTTCCATGGTGGCAAATTTTCCTGGTGGCAAATTTTCCTCTGATTCACAAGGGCGGCGACTGCCTATAATGATGACGGTCTGGGGCAAACTTTGGCTATGCTGACTTCGAGGCCCTAGGGAATCACAATAGCTTACCTAACAAATCTTCGAAAAATGGAGATTATGCTGGGGCCCGCATAACCAGTGAGGACGGGCCGTTCAAGTATCAAGTAAATAAGGTCTAAAAAGTAGGGAACATATGGACCAATTGGGTACCGATGCCAATGTTCAGATGCTGTTCATTGTACGGGTTTTTGGACTATTGTGCTCTTATGAAATGCTGAGATATTTGCAAAACTCCGGACCGCAGGTGTATGCAGTGGGGAACGAACACGCGCTGTTTTCCTTACCGGGGAGCAGCGCACTTCACCACCACACCATCCGGGTCCTTCGTCTTGCCTGTCTCTCAGCTAGTTCTATCGATCTTTTTGCCATCAGCAATCACCCGTCAACGGGATTGATCTAGGGAGCCCAAATCGGCATTGAACCCAGTTAAGCTGAGGCTTAGTTATAATCACAATCTTAACCCTTTTATTTACTGCCTTTTTCTTCTTAATGGCAGGGTATGTTGTGAAATATAACTCGTATGAAATGCTGAGATATTGACGGGTGATTGCTGATGGCAAAATGATCGATAGAACTAGCTGAGAGACAGGCAGGACGAAGGACCCGGTTGGTGTGGTGGTGAAGTGCGCTGCTCCCCGGTAAGGACAACAGCGCGTGTTCGTTTCCCACTGCATACACATGCGGTCCGGAGTTTTGCAAATATCTCAGCATTTCATACGAGTTATATTTCGCAACATACCCTGCCATTAAGAAGAAAAAGGCAGTAAATAAAAGGGTTAAGATTGTGCTCTTGTTATCATCCAGTCATTTGCGGATGTAACAGTGTTTCACATGTTTCAGCACATTGCCCGTTCCTCGCAAAGGTATGGTTAGTGCCTCTCTATATCTCTCATGGCTAGACATGATGACTCGTGAACTTCCACCTACTCTGCTGGTTCGTGGAAATCAAACATCCGTTTTGACGTTCTATTCATGAGGTTTCTGCTCATCAATGTTTCAACATAACACTGAGGAAAATCTAACATGAGATAGATGTTCAAGGTAAATCTTGCATCCATCTAATTTCTAAATATTGTGGTCAATTAGGGCTCAAAAGTAGAGGAATAACGGTAAGAAGACATTAAGAATTCTGGTGTTGTTCTCGGTTGTTCACTTGTGATGTTAGTAGTTTCCAGTGAGCTCAGTTCGAGAGGTTTGTGAACCATCCGGTATTATTCGACCGTTCTAAGTTGTGTACATTTATATTTTTGTAGAAGAGGTCACAAATGGTCGTTGCATTCCTCGTGTAGATAGAATGAAATGTAGAATTCTATATAAATCGCTCATGTCCTCCTATTTATGTGCCTTTTCAACGGAGTATTTCGCCTCCTTAAAAACGCTATTGTTTCGTTCTCACTTTGTTCACGTCGTCTTCTTGATTTGCATCATATTTTGTAAAATAGTGAAAACAACATGTTGTTTTCGCATTACCACATGGAACTCCAAATACATTGACGCTGAACCCTTATTATTGTAGTGACACATGACATCAGAATTCACATGGAAGCCTAAAACTCTAAGGACCAAACTTGGAACGCTGAATTTCGCAATGGTGTATGTATTCTATTACAGTATCAACAGAGGTTGCGCTAGGCTAATAATTCCTGGAACTTTGTCGTTTTGTTGTAAATAGAAGTGTTAGGTTTTTACGAAAAACGGTAGCTAGACCATTTTTTGTTGCTTGTTCAAAGGTGAAGATTTTGAACATCTTTGTAATAGTGAGGTTGGGTTGATACATAGCCAATTCCTCTGTTTTTAGTGCGCACAAGTTTAGCTCTGAATTTAAATGGTAGAAGAAAGAATGGATCTACATCGCATAGACCATTACGGAAATGGAAATGCGTAACGGAGCTAGTCATGATAAAGGCATGAAATCGGTTAAGTGAGGCTAAAACAGGACTACTTTTGGATCTTTGGATACTTTTGGATTTTTCATGAACTGTTAAGTAACAAGACCTGTCTCACATAACACTTTGCCGTGAGATAATAATGGTCAGCAGATAAACAGTCAAACATTTTGATTTTGACTACAGCCTCAGGTTAACACGGCTCAATGTTCTTCATTCCCAGTTAATTCCTTTTCACGGTTGATATGCTGATGGCAACGTTAGGGTAAAAAACTGACATAGAAAGACAAAGCAAGCGCATTATTGTGCATCGGACAACACACGAGCTTCCGGGAATGGTAATCGCTGGTTCGAATCTGGTTTGGGTCCAGGTTTTGCAAATATTTCAGTATCATTGTGGATTTATCAAGGACTATCGTAACAATCTTCGAGCTGTGCTCCTCAGTGCTAGATTCGACAACTAACATCCGCGTTATGAGGGCAACCAGTTATGCATATTTGACTCGTTTGAACCCGGCTGCGAAGACGTCGAACGTTAACCACATATTTTTACACTGACCTCTGGTTAGCTCACTGATTTAGGAAAGTACAAATTGAATACTGCTTCGGACAAAGGTGGTGGATATCTGTGTTCTTATCGTATTTGTATACCTTGGTGTATTCCCTTCTCAAATGCGTGTTACCAATGACTAAATTTCCAGATTTCTGAATGGTTTGAAGGTTGTATTCGTACCTACGGGATATTCAGTGTTATAAACATTGTAATCTACAAACAGTTTTTAGATCCCTCTCATTCTCATTTCTTCTCATTTGGAACTGTTAAATTTGTGCCTACCATGACCTAGACGTCTGCCTTGCTAGGAATGATAGAAACAGAAAGCCTATAACCGAAACCGCTTCTTGTTGCTTGAACGAGTGAAGGCCAGTACCAAGCTGCAGCTCGTGATGCTTACAAATTTAGATTTTTTTGCTGTAAGCATAAGCAAATCGATGAATAACTGGATTGCTGAAAACACATTTAACGTTCGTTCAAATCGAAATTTTATTGTCAACCAGAAAGCAACCAGAACCTCCAATCAAATAATAAAAAATAGTTCTATGACTGTCTCTGCTGAAATCTATTAACACATAGCGATACTACGAGTTGTCAATCCATCATATCTGAATGTAGTAAATTGCTTTTCGTCGAATTTCAAAGGAGTTCACGTCGCCAGTTTTAGCAGCACCATAAGAACAGCAGCAATACCTGCTAAAAGCGTATGTTTTTGAAACAAGAATCGACCTTTTTGCTTTCGATTCTTGTTATTCCTTTGTAAGAAAGGTTTATCGAACACACAAATACCTGAAGCTGGAATCGTTAAAATCCAGGACATTGCAATATTTCTCAGCAACGACCACTTCGTAGGCTCGCTAGAGCGCACACAACCGACTGCTACCACTGAACCCACCTAAATTATTGGAACAGTGTTATCGACTGTTTTACAGGAATGACTACCAGAGATAATTACATAGGTGTTGATAACTCTTAACTCACTCAAAGTTCAACCACTATGAGACTAATTCTACTAAGTTCACCTATATTTTGGAAAAGAGCCCACTAACGGCGATAAACGTCATAACAGCCACATGATATAACAGTTAACCACGTCTTTACGCTTGTTAAACTATGGGATCACTAGAATATTTGTGCACCTCGAAGATGTATGGATGTTGTGTTGGTTGAAAGGCGTCCTACCTACCAGACAGTGCGTAGTGCTAATGGGCAGACCGAGTCTACTTGCGAGAAGCGATGTGAGAGCAGCACCGAACTCGATTGTGAAGCCGCTTAAATGAAGGTCTGCACTCTTCACAGAGCCTGGCATTTCGAAACGAATGAAAGAGGAACCTGGCTGCGTTAATTTTTGAGACTTTAGTAGCAATGGTCGTAATTACTCGGTCACCAAACGTCCAGAGACCGATGCAACTCCCTAGTATTCCGAAGCCTATCACATAGAGCGGAACCTATATAGTGACTAAAGTTCATAAAATGCTCAAGAATTTGGTGAGAAGACAGTCAAAAAATCCGGCTCAATGAAAAGATGTACCTCTTCTTTCTGATAAGGAGATTTATTCGAATAAATTGATATCACAGTCGCCACGGGGGCTACAGCATTGCTGAAAATTAACTTTTGGGAACTCAACGATGCTGAGATATGAGCAAAAGCCGGATCACCAGGTGAGTTTCGAGCCCTCGACTACACCTTCCGATCTCGGCCCGCTTTTTATCCTGACGATGCTATCACCAAGTACACGTCTATAGGAATGATCTGGGGAGCACAAATTGTTGTTAAAGCCAGTTAAGCGGAAGCTGCCGTTGCGGTAGGGCATTATGTGACCACAAGGATAAAAGGACAAAGTGTGAAACTCTCAGTGTTGATTTATCCCCGAGGGATGCGCCATGCATTCGACTTCATCAAACGTCGTTGAAGTGGATTGAATGCATATCTGGCCTTTACAATGACTCACCATAGTTGTTGGGCCTGAGACACTGGGATCGACCCCACGTGCATTGTAAGGCGCCTTCGACCACTGTGCCACACTCGCACTACAAGGATACTGAGGTAGATATAAAACTCAGAACCTCAGCTCCTCTGGAAGCAGAGACTACGCTTTCGGGGAGATCACTTTTAGCTGGTTTAGAGAAGCAAAACAAGGGCGCCTATGGTGCAGTAGTAAATATAATTGCACTCTTCGAAAGGTTAATCGCGGGTTCAGAGCTCAATTGAGGTTCCAGGTTTAGCTCACACCCCAGCATCATTGCTGTCGTATTTCATATAAAATCTTGTCGTGAAAAAACTGATAGGCGCTAAAAGTTAAACCTTGAGAACTCAGTCCGATGATTAGTTTCTGCTATAGAAACATGAGATGCTCCTCACTTCCATCTTCTATTTCTACAAGTTCTTTACCTCATCTTTAAATAATTGGAAGATACCGTCAACCTTATGTCTTGTGCTCCGTGAGCGAAGCCTGCGAAACATGCAGTGAAGACCTGGACTGCAGCAAACAGTTGTAAGGTTTTATGATCGTCGGTATGTGAAGAACGCAAACCGATAAGATCGTAAAAGGTACGCGAGCCTGGAAGCGATATGTCTTTCGAAGAAATGCTCATGATGGAAAAATGCGACTTTATGAGACACATGGATAGAGTTGCAAGTCCCTAAATCGACCATTATTAAACACAACATTTAGTCGACCAAACCTACAACCCTTTGAAGTCGGTGGACTAACATCAGCGATGTATTAATGTGAGGTGCCTGCTGCCTGGTTTACAACTGTCTACACTCATCAGATGCAAGAAAGGAATTTACAAGTCATTTACTAAGGTAGCGCTATGTCCTTAGTTTATTTAGGAAATATTTGAGCAATAATGATGATTTTCTTTTACTACAAGGGCAAATGGATGGAAAGATAGACTAGACAGTGTTTTAAAAGCGATATATAAGGACGAACCGCGACCGTGGGTGTCTTGCCGCGAAGAATTGGCTGTGATCGTGTCATCAGTGCTAGACAACGTCGAGGTAACGTTATCGGAGACGCTTTCGGTAGAACGAGATTCTGGAAAACAAACCTACACGCTGAACTTATTATCACGAACAGGCTTTCTGAGCCCCTGGGCGGGATCGAGCCAGCAACCAAGTATGCATTGCAAGGCATCTCTAACCACTGCGCTACACTCGTCCAGTAGTATTGTTATAGTCCTCGATAAATGCCGACCACGGAAAGAAGGAAATTTTAAAAAGAGAGTCAGATGTAAAGCTAAGTACCTCCTATCTTTCTCAATATATATGGTTTAAGCATAAACTGGACGATGACGGCCGCGATTAAACCACTTCCAATACCCACCAAAAACGAAGCCCAAAAGGGGATGCGGTCAAAATGAAGCACTGCAATGGATTCTTTTCCTTCAAGAAGTTTGTAGTGACTTTGAGTCATTTTTGTGAGAAAATGGAAAAAACATAAGAATCAACTAACATTTTGAGCCTTTCCATGTCACAATGAAGACATTGAATGAAATACACAGAAAGTAAAACACTGGCAACAGTCTCATTCCCCAGACGAACGGATTTTCCTAAGAAAGTGAAAGGCGCTGCAAATATAGCTTTCTTTGGTATTGCCGTTTTTTATTTTTCAACTATGATTCACTAATGATGCAAGCGTTTCGTCAGATAACCTCATGGAAGAGTGATTTTCAACGTAAATGAAGAGTTCAATCAGCGTACCCTCCGCAAAACGGCGACATCGACAAAAACATACAACATAGACGAAATCGCTCCCGATGTCAATGGGGAAATGAACCATGACATTACTGAATCAACGTTCTCAAATCAATTAGTTCATTGGAGGAGCAAATTCACTTATTTGCATAACACACAACATTCGATTCCGAGTCAAGGTAATTTTTCAAAGGAAGACTGATGGACTTCCCGTAGGTATAAAAGGTTTTTTTAACCTCTCGCTGCTTTATTGAAGCTAATTATTCCTCTTCAAAAAAATAGTTCTATGAAAAATGCTTAGGTCGATGATACTTTTTGCTTTTATGAAGTATTTAGTAGAAAAATAGATGTTACCAAAGCCATATAATGAAGTCCAGTGTTAACGTGAAGCTATACTTGCCAATATGAAGGAGTTTCTTCCATCTAATTCCTTGCAATCCACGAAGCACCAGGGAGTATCCAAGTGTTCCCCCAACTATTGACTGTGTAGTTGAGACAGGCATTCCCAATAGTGTCGCCAACGCCAACCAAGTTGCACATCCTACAAATTTGTAGGTAGAATTTATAACCTATTCTGCCAGTTTAGACGACGGAGTACTTTTTTCTGCGTTTCTACGAAATGCTACTGATAAACTGACATAAACTATGAACTGACTTTCTTCAGGACCTGAATAGGAACTCACTGTGACACCTTCCTATTAGCAGAACATTCTACAATCTCAAGGAAAAATCCAAGAAAAAACTTCAATTCGTTAGAAAGTACAGACCGTTTTTTCTGTTGTCTGAATTTTTTGTGTGGCTTAAAACATCAGCATATGATGCACATACTTTGATAAACGAAGCTTATTCGTAGTAAACGAAGTAAACAAAGATAACCGCAACGTTGCTGAGGTGGTATTTGCAAAACTCCGGACCGCAGGTGTATGCGGTAGGCAACGAACGCGCCATTATCCTTTCCGAGGGCTAACGCGTTCACCACCACACCATACAGGTTCTTCGTCTTGCTTGTCTCGCAGCTAGTTCTATCGATCAGCGCCATCGGTAATAACCCGTCAACGGGATTGGTTCGGGAAGCCCAAGTCGGCAATGAACCCAGTTTAGCTGAGGCTGCACTTATAATCACAATCTTAACCTTTTTATTTACTGCCTACTCTTTATCAATGGCAGGGTATGTTGCGAAATATAACTTATATGGCGTAACGAAGGACCCGCATGGTGTGGTGGTGAACATGTTAACCTCCGGAGAGGGTAATAGCGCGTTCGTTGCCCACCGCATACACCTGCGGTCCGGAGTTTTGCAAATAACTCAACACTGTTGTGGTTGTATTTCGCATAATATCCTGCCGTAAAAATTTCAGTAAACAGAAAATGAGCAGTAAAACATTGTACATAAAGATAGTTTCGTTTAACATTGATCGATATATTCTGATTTCCGAAATTTATTCATAATGAGCTGAGTCTCGTGCGTTCATGTTTCTGAGTCCAGCGTGTGGATCGCGAATGCCACTTGAGAATTTTTTGCCTATCTAGGTCTTCGTCCCCATATGTTTTGCAAGAAATCAGGTACACCGTACCGGAACTCATACACTCACCATCTATATTGGCAGCGCAAATAATTCAACTTTGTGCTCTTATGGTCATGAACAAGGTTTGAAATAACAAAGACGTGCAGTGTTCGGTGATAGTCCATGCAATAGCTGCCACACAACTATTCACAACTCTCTAGTAGTTTTTAGGACATCAACAACAGAAAATCGGTGGGTGCGTTTTAAGAGATTGAAGTTTACGTGCTGACTTTTCAATGACATTGTAGAACCTTCACCAAAAAGGGTTTCCTCTTCAAAAAGAAGTCAACGTCGCCGAAATGTTAGCCATTGAACGTCAAAATACGTGCCGTCATCTCCTGTCAGCACGCTACGTATGAACAAAATAATTTCCAAGTGTTTTTCGTAATGTCGTTTTTAAAACTCTTTATGGAATCGTTTGTGTCCTCCTTCATTGTTTATTTTCCAGGATCTTATGAAAGGACAAAGAGAGAATCTCATTAGTTTAGCGTTGTCCAAGGTGAGGTACTCTCGACGGACTCTAACCTCATTCCAATTCACTTAATTCAGTAGAATATAGAAGGGATATCCGCGCTTTAACTTCGGATAATCAAGCAGTGCTACTTAAACACAACTTTACCTAGTGGCTCACCTATTATTGGCAAACAATTTGAGGGCAGGAACTATTTTACAGAAATGCAAGCTGCGAAAATTTGAAATTACTACGGCTGACTAAGAAAGACACTACCTCCAAGAGCAGCGATCTGGCCAATCATCAGCTCCTTTGGTGAATCTGCGAACATGGTCGAATCAACAACACCCTTCCGCAAGGTGTCTGTTACGGACCAACCTAAACACGTTCAAAATTATTTATTTGTCGCTTCATCAATGATCACAGAATGCCATAATTTCAATAGAGTTGTGACCCAACCACAACTATTCATAAAGCCAGGTTCCATACAACTACGAACTCTTATTCCACTAATCTCAACAAACAGGAAACAAACACTGCTGTGCACATTTCGCATACCCTTTTTTTCTACAGTAAAAGGTAAAAAGGAGGAAAAGATAAAGCTCTCTGCGATGATTTCTCATGGAGTGAGCGTTCTGCATCTGACCTCCTCAAACATCGCTAAAGGTGAACATATCTGACCTATGCAGTGATTTGTGGTGGCCCATCGTATAAAATGTTGGTGTTGTCATCGCAGAGGCTCCCATGGTCCACCAAGCCTTCCATCCCTCCGGGGTCGGTAAATTGGTACCAGACTTGTCTAAGAGGATAACAGCACTGGCTCGATACATCGGCAAGCCACTGTGATTCATTGTAGAGGCCAGATGTGCATTCAATCACCTCCAAAGGATGCTTAATGAAGTAGAATGCATGGCACATCCCTCTGGGACTGATCAACGCCGAGAGCTTTATTTTTTTATTTTCATCCTTGCAGAGAAGTCTGGTACCAAACTTATGATTCCTGGGGAATAGAGGGCTTGGCGAGCCCAGGACGCGAGGTGGAATCAACGACCATTTCTGTATTGCAAGGCGACACTACCTATTTCGCTCTACGCACCCGTGTCAATAAAGGTGGTAATAAAATTGCGATTTGCATGAATAACTCTTCGGAAGTTTTATCAGTTCTAATTATTAGACCGTAGGAAATTTACAGATCTCTCTCATCCTAACTTATCTCTCGAAAAAACTCGCCACTGTATCAAAGTCAACGCTCTCAAGCGTCGTGCTCCATGCGGCTGGCATCCGAGTGCCATTTCGATCCATTACTACTCACAACACTGTGCATTTCTATGAAAATACTACTCAATAACCCTTGTTCTAATGAGGATCTCTGGCTTGAAAGCTACAATTTGGATGCGGAATCCACACTTTTGTTTGACTAAGCATAGCTTCAAATTGAGCTTAATTTCATAAATGAGCTTGTTCGAACTAATGTCATATCGATAAATAAAGGTAAGTCGCTTAGGAAAACAAAGATGATAGTATCGAAGTCTGTCACATACAAATAACACATTATGATTTATGACTGATGAATTATTGTATTTTCAATACTCGAGAAATGCTTTTAAATTTAACATATTGAACCGACATCGCAGAAAAACTGTTAGGATACTAATGATCTTTGAAGAAATGGGAGAAAAGCCTACCTACAAAAATCGCTCCGAGTGCCTCGAAGAAAGAAGCTAAGATATAGGCTTGTGAGAGTGTCAGAGTTCCACTGCCTACCGTAGTTCCGAATGTGTTCGCCACATCATTAGCCCCCATGGCAGCTGCCAGCAGAAAGCCGAGTATCATTCCCACGACGAGCACCCAAATAACGGACTCCTAGAACAATCAGCGACGATGCTAGGAGATTTGCGAGCAGTTAATTCGTGTTCATAAACACTCATGAAGAAATTATAATAAGGGTTGATACGATTTATCTAATTATTTAAGGATCAACTTCGACAGACTGGAGAGATAGCGAATGTCGACAAGCCATTTGAACTGGAGGACTTCTCTTTGCCGAAGGAAAACAAAGGCTAAGGAAAGTTCGAATGTAAGAACGCTCACCTGGTCGAAAGGTGAACTTGTCGTCGCCGTAAAAAGTGTACTAGTCACGGTCTCTATTTCTGGAATGGATTCACCAAATCACAAGTGATTAGACAATACATTAAGTAGAAAACACACCATTCAGATCCACGTCAAAAAATTTTAACTCTGAGTTCACTCGGAGCTCATGCAACAACCCACAATCATTGAATGAACTTTATGTCAGAATTTTTTGTGAACGAAAATAACTAAGGAAAACAACTATAGCCAGAAAGAAAGACCTGTCATTTGAGGTCGTTGGAGGACATACCGCTTAGTCACAATGGGAACATATACAATGAGAAACTATTTCAATTTTCTCGAAATATTGGCAATAAACAAAGATATGACTCGTCATAATATAAGCCACTTGCGAAATATCTGTTCTTATATCAACCTCCTTTTAGGCTTATCAGTGAGACAAACATTAGAAATATTCGAAATATTACAAACATTAGAGTATTTTGAGTTGCTATGCATACGATAGTGAGAAATGGCTGATGAGATGTGTGGAGACTGATAAGATCTATAGTGTGGCGGTCATCCACTTCTTGATGATGCGTCGCTTCTTACTTGTTGCTCGCGGTGAAGGCGTCTAGCGCATCGAGTTGAAAAAAGTCCTAAGACACTCATCGCAATTTTTTAGGCCACATCTCTGTTGAAATTCAATTTCAGTCTTCAATGTAGCTAGTATTTTTGCTGATCAGTTCTTCTCTACTATTTACTACATGATGATGAATCTCCTTCAGAATTCCGCAAATTGTGAAGCGAATCAACTTCTCCCTGTCGAGTTGAACGCAATCGGTGAACGTGCTCTTGATAGTCTGAAACAAATAGTAATCCAGAAAAAAGTGCCAGAACCAAATTAATTTACTAGTAATTGTTCTTGTGGAAACATTGACGCATATAATTATTTTCGTAGAGGATCCAGCTCTTGTTCACAGTAACAACTTCCCTTATGTGCTTGTTTCTGGATGAACAAGTGAACATCAGCGATTTTTAGACAATAAAACGACATGCTTTGTCAATGTTACTAAACGTACTTCCGTGTCAAGTTAACGCAACGACAAACCGTGTGTTGAAAGTGAGTGAGAGTCGTGAGATACACTTCAAAAGCTCTATGGTCAACATCTAACACCGAACACTATCACTTACACCAGCTACGCTAATCCTGATGACGGCGACAGTGCTAACATGGTTGCTCCAACGTTGGTCGATTTAGAGACAAGAACACATCGTTGTCAGGGCAGAGTTCCATGATTGCCATGAATTCTCTCCAAAATGTTCTGAATTATATTGTACAAGTTTAATATCTTTCAGAGAGAAGCAATTGAACACACAAGAAGAACACCAAAGCTCAGAAAACTAAATCAACTCAAAGAAACTGCGTAGAAGTTCTCTTCTTTGTTAATGCAAAGGAGGACATTATAAGGACTGGCTTTTTGAGTCTGATCGTGCATAATTAAAATAAAGGATAAAGCTTTCGGTGTTGATCAATCCCTATGGGAACCACCATATGTTAGCCTTCGTTATTCATCGTTAAGGGATTGAATGCATATCTGACCTTTACAATGACTCGAGGCGGTCTACCGATGTATGGAGCCAGTGTTGCAATCTTCCCAGACAAGTTTGCTACCAATTTGCCGAACCCGGAAGGATGAAAGGCTTGGTGAGCTTGGCGCGCCGGTTCGAACCCATTGATATTGTAGTACGCTTCTGACCACTGCGCTACACGCGCCCCCATTATGCATACTAATCACTGTAATCGACGAAGAGACTCACTAAGAACTCATACCTACGCCGCTAAAAATTTCAACAATAATGAAGCCCTTTTCCTTCCATTTAAAAATGAGCAACTACTTTGTGTCAGCTTTCATTTACGTCACAACATCATAGCGTACATCTATGCATTGGAAAGTATGCACTTGTCTGGGCGAGTGATGTCTGTCCGAACGCAATTATTAAACTTTTGCCATGAAAAAAAGGCAATAGATAAGTGTTATACATTGTGAATTGCGATTCCAACTACATCCTCATCGTAACTGGGTTCAATACCGATGTTGGGACGGCTCGTTGATATAGGAATACCAATTAGTTAGGACAATTCGGTTGGAATTAGCTGCTCGTCTTTGTGTACGCCACGTGGGACTTTTTGTGACTAGCAGTCACAATGCCTGACACCTCAAACTTGGGTAATTAAACCGTTTATCATAGTTATACAACAATCATAACAATACAACTTCACAATTAATGCAACAATGATACGGGTTATGAGTAGGCGCAGCCTGATCACTGGTGTTCAGGTTGCTTATGAGTGAAGACATTGGCATATGACTTTTACTACATGAGATGGAGGTGAGGCACGAATGCGGTGACTTGGGCAGCATTGCTGTGACATGAGCTAGCTAACCGTGGAGCCGTTTATATACTTTGCGCTAGGCGGAGACAGATTACAGTAGGCGGAGTCGGGCTACAGTAGGCAGAAAGACGGGTGCTGGAAACATTCCTCAAGCCTTGCGATCTGATAGGGCGATATTCAAAGCCTAGGACCGTAAGTGCAGATATTTTACGAGATAGGCGCCAGCGAAATGTTAGACATACGCTATCAGATCGTCATGAAGAAAAGGTCATGGGAAAAGCATTTGAAATGTTTGGAAAGGTTATAATTGATTTACATAGAGAACATTCCAATATTCGTGAAAAATGTTCTCCATAGCCGATTTGTGCTCCCTAGATTATCCCCATTGATGGGTGATTGCTGATCGCACCATTTTGGTAAAAAGGCTGGGTGAGAGAAAGGCAGAACGAGAGCCTCAGTGGTGCCGTGGGTAACATATGACACTCCGGGATGGGTAACCTGGGGTCGATCTAGCCTGGAGTCCAGGTTTTGCAATTGTATCAGCATCATACTGTGATTGCATTGAAGTTTTCTTCGGTTAACGTCTGGGCGTTTTCTTCTTCCTGAGAGCCGATGATCCGAGTCGAAGGTCCACAGCCGCTCGACTTCTCGCTGTGGTGCTTTCGACGTCGCATCGAGTCGTGCACCGCTCAAGTAAGGCAAGCTCACCAGGCAGCGCTCTTTTATACTTGTTAGCACTTTATTTCACGCTTACACTCACAGTTTTAACTCATTGGCACTTGTTTAGATGTCAGATGAATTGCTCCAGTTTTCCTTTAGGAATGTGAACCTTAAATCAGGATTGGACATTGACCTTTTCGAGCTGTTCGTTGATTCAATAGTTGATTTGATGGCACATTTCGTTCAACGTAGAATGCTCTGTTCTTATGATCTGACACGCGAGACATCCCATGCTTCAGTATGAGCCCCAAAATTGGGTAACTAAGCAAGTTTTTTGATAAAATTATTTTGCTTCCTTTTCGCATGAAAATATAAAAATATAGCGAGTAACGACTTACTAGGATTATAGAATAGTTAGAGCGCGTGTGACGCAGTTGTCGGAGGCTCTCTGGAACGCACACGTGAAATCGGTTCCCGCGCACATGGCCCACCAAGCCTTTCATTTCTTTGAGGTCCGCAAATTGGTACCAGACTTGTGTGGGAGGATAGTAGCACTGGCTCCATGCATCGGTAGCCCACTGCGGATCATTGTAAAGACCAGATATATGTTCAATCAGCTCTAACGATGAATAACGAAGGCTAATATATGGTGGTTCCCATAGGATTTGATCAATGCCGAGAGCTTTGTTTTATTTTGTAGAATAGTTGTTTAATAAAGTTATATCCTCGAAATTCCGGTGAACGTGTAACGGTCGAAGCGTTAGTCATTAAAATCAAAAATACCTGTTAATAAACTCTTATTAGCTCATCAACGGTAATTTGTAAGAACAAATTAAATCAATGTTACTATTGGAAGCTTTGAAATGAAAAGTTGTAGTTTGCACGCCGTTGGTCAATCTCGAAAACCTTTTTGGTAGTAGATTAGACTAAATGACCTCCGAGAAAATTTAACTCATTTAAGTAACTGCCACGACCGACTTTCGATTAACCTCGGCATTGATCAAGTGATTTTCTTTGTATTTTTGTTGAGCAAATGCGAGGTGTTACTATTCTTTGTTCACGATCAAGCTGACGTTTCGGCGGATTTCGCCTTCTTCAGAGCCTGGAAAGGTCAAGTTGATAGCAACTCACTCGGCCAGACGCCTCCATAGCCAAACAAAGAAACTCCAAACCAAGATTTCAATCACTTTGAACACAGCTTTGCACACTCACCGCTTTCTATGAGGTCTCGACTAAGTATGTCACGTAGAGACCAACCGCACAGAAATCACGTGGAAGTATAATGTGCCCCTCACATCAGAAAAGCAGTTTTATATACTGCCCTATATCACGCGTGATAATGAGGCATTCTTCCCTGCGGTTCATTTTCGGATTTCTGGAATTAATCCAGAGTGCCTCGAGAGTTTTTCGCGCCTGTGTTCTTGATTCGCGTGCGAGGATCGTGACACATACTTCGAAGTCGTCCCCGTTATGTTTCTGGGTCCTATGCGTGCCTAGCGGGGTATTTGGTCTATTTTTGCCGGCTAGGTGTTCTTTCATNCTTTGTTCACGATCAAGCTGACGTTTCGGCGGATTTCGCCTTCTTCAGAGCCTGGAAAGGTCAAGTTGATAGCAACTCACTCGGCCAGACGCCTCCATAGCCAAACAAAGAAACTCCAAACCAAGATTTCAATCACTTTGAACACAGCTTTGCACACTCACCGCTTTCTATGAGGTCTCGACTAAGTATGTCACGTAGAGACCAACCGCACAGAAATCACGTGGAAGTATAATGTGCCCCTCACATCAGAAAAGCAGTTTTATATACTGCCCTATATCACGCGTGATAATGAGGCATTCTTCCCTGCGGTTCATTTTCGGATTTCTGGAATTAATCCAGAGTGCCTCGAGAGTTTTTCGCGCCTGTGTTCTTGATTCGCGTGCGAGGATCGTGACACATACTTCGAAGTCGTCCCCGTTATGTTTCTGGGTCCTATGCGTGCCTAGCGGGGTATTTGGTCTATTTTTGCCGGCTAGGTGTTCTTTCATGCGATTTC